CTGAGAATATTTGTTAAACTAACTATATATATTTGTCCCACTCTAGAACGTGAGTGTCTTTGTATGATCATGGTGTCTCTTAGTGAGGACATCTCCCTTACCTTTTGGATGAGGATTATTTTAATGTTATTAGATCAGATAATAAGCTCTAGTGGAAGGTTAACTATCTAATGATAACATATTCTGCCAACTAACTGAATAACAAATGTTACAAATATTTGAACAATTTAGGCCAGTAGGCTCAAGAGTCATGTGTCACCTTCAGAGCTCCTGCTGCAGGCTCTGTAACACATCGGATGTGTGATCTGCACGCACATGCTAATAGAAGTATAGAAGAGGTTTGCTTAGCATTAGCACTAGCTTTGGTTTGACGTTTTTGAGGCTTTAAATAAATATCTTGCCAGTGAAACGGAACATGTAAGGGGTATTCATTTACAAAATATATTTAAGTCATGTCCTTCGTATTTGATTGGACCTCTGAAAAGTGGGTGGGATTCAAATGTAGACCATCGAGCTGCAGTGGACTGTGGCTCCGTGCACATGTTGCTAAAAAGACGTCATGTTGTTGGTTTGAATTGGTTACCGGCAATGGCTCAGCTCTGGACTGTGAGCCGTAGGGTCGCCGGTTCAAGTCCCCGACCACACCTAAATATGGAGTGTGGACTGCTACTTGGAGAGGTCCCAGTTCACCTCCTGCCCTGCCTTGGTGCCCTTGAGCAAGGCACCGACAATCAATAGCTGCCCACTGCTCCTAGTACTAGACTCCTGGCACTAGGATGGGTTACATGCAGAGGTCAAATGTCACTGTGTGTGCTCTGCATGTGAGACCATCAAAGAGGGTTTCATCCCTCCCATGCTATCTATCTATCTATAAGCATACTTCATGTTTAGTTTGAAAGAAAAAACAGTTTACTGAATTTTGGCATAATCTTTTTATTTCAAGAATACTGTGTTGTCCTTCTGCCGCACAGGGTTAGACAACATGCAGTCATTACTTCTCCATTTTGCTACACAGGAACATAACAAAACATAAGAGAACACAAACCGGAGAATGGGAGTGCATTACTGAAGAGGATACTTTTTTTAAGAATGTTTTTTTTTAATTGAAGGACGGAAGCAATCATACAGTGTTACAATGAAACTGTGATTTTCCTTCCTTTGAATGTATTATTTCCTTTCAGATGTAACCTTCATTATCATGTGGATTATTAAGAATTGCCCACATTGATTGTAAGGAATGCGTGGAAAGGGTAGGACCCAAATGCAGACTACAAAGTAAAGTAACAAGGTCTCGAAACAAAAACGAGCTTTATTCTAAAGCTGAACAATAGCATGGCATGAAACACATAGGTTCTATAGAAACTGACCGTGACCAACAAGGTGGGAGACAGGAGAAACAAACAAGACTGACATGGAGGAAGACAGGAAAAACCAACAATGAACCGACAGGGGAACACAGGAAGAGACAAGACTAAATACAGGGAGGGGTAATCACAAGACGAGACACAGCTGGGGTAAGGGAGGCAGAAACACAAGGGCAACAGGTGAACACAATCAAACAATCAGACACACCAGGGAAACTAAGACAGGAAGGCAAACACAGGAAGAAGGAACAGAGAAGACACAAGGAGGAAAACATTTCAAAACAAAACAGGAACCAGAGACAGAAAAAGACAAGACAAAACACAACACAGACAGATCGTGACATAACCCCCCCCTCAAGGGACGGATCCCAGACGTCCCAAAAAACATAGTCTAATACTTCCAAAAGGGTGGGTGGAGGGGGTCCGGAGGACGGGCCCGAAAGGGGTCCCGGGCGGACGGCCCGGGGGCAAGGCAGAGCCCAAAAAGGGGCGACGGCCACAGCGGGCGAACTCAGGGGGCCGGGCATGAGAGCAAAGGCAGCGGCTCTCAGGGGACCGGGCTCGAGGGCGAAGGCAGCGGCTGGAAGAATCAGGAGGCCGAGCCCGAGGGCGAAGACCGCGGCTGGAGAACTCAGGAGGCCGGGCTCGAGGGCGAAGACTGCGGCACTCAGGGGGCCGGGCTCGAGGGCGAACCAGAAGGCGGCGACGAGACAGCTCCGGAGGACGGGCAGGAAGGCGCCGACGGGACAACTCCGGAGCACGGGCAGGAAGGCGCCGACGGGACAGCTCCGGAGGACGGGCAGGAAGGCGCCGACGGGACAACTCCAGAGGACGGGCAGGAAGGCGCCGACGGGACAGCTCCGGAGGACGAGCAGGAACCAGTATCGGCCGGACAGGAACCGGAGCCGACCGGACAGGCGCAGACGGGACCCCAAACAAGACATGGGCTGGTGTCAATGGGACCCCGGATGTAGCAAGGGCTGGTGTCGACTGGACCCCCAACGGAACAGGACACAGAGTTGGCAGGACCCCCGGCGGGACAGGTGTCGGCGGGACCCCAACAGAACAGGACATGGGGTTGGCAGGACCCACAGCGGAACAGGTGTCGGCAGGACCTCCAACGATACTGGACGTGGAGTTGGCAGGACCCTCGGCAGGAGAGTAGTCGGCGGGACCTCCAACAGCACTGGACATAGGGTTGGCAGGATCCCCGGCAGAAGAGTAGTCGGCGGGACCTCCAACGGCACAGGACATAGGGTTGGCAAGACCCCCGGCAGGAGAGTAGTCGGCGGGACCTCCAACAGCACTGGACATAGGGTTGGCAGGACCCCCGGCAGAAGAGTAGTCGGCGGGACCTCCAACGGCACAGGACATAGGGTTGGCAAGACCCCCGGCAGGAGAGTAGTCGGCTGTACCTCCAACAGCACTGGACATAGGGTTGGCAGGACCCCCGGCAGAAGAGTAGTCGGCGGGACCTCCAACGGCACAGGACATAGGGTTGGCAGGACCCCCGGCAGAAAGAGTAGTCGGCGGGACCCCCAATGGGACAGGACATGGAGTTGGCAAGACCCCCGGCAGGAGAGTAGTCGGCGGGACCTCCAACGGCACAGGACATAGGGTAGGCGTCGGCCGTAGAGCCAACAGGAGACGAGCCAAGGACTGCTGGCTTTCAACTAAGGCTCGCATCGTCTGCTCATGTTGGCCCAGAAGATTTCCCTGATGGGAAATGGCGTGCTGGACCGGAACAGAGGCCGGAACCATGGCTGCTGGGGCCAGAACTGGGGCTGGAACCATGGCTGTATGGGCCGGTTCTGGAGCTAGAACCATGGCTGCTGGGGCCAGAACTGGGGCTGGAACCATGGCTGTATGGGCCGGTTCTGGAGCAGGCACCCTGGCTGCTGGGCACGGAACCGGAACACGGAACCATGGCTGTGTGGGATGGTACTGGAGCACGGTACCATGACTGTGTGGGGCGGTACTGGTGCACGGAACCATGACTGTGTGGGCCGGTACTGGAGCAGGCACCCTGGCTGCTGGGCATGGAACCATGGCTGCAGGGGCCAGAACTGGGGCCGGAACCATGGCTGCTGGGGCCTGCACTGGAGCCCAAAGCAAGGCTTCTGGGGCTCGGGCTGCAAGCCTGGACTTGCGACTCCTCTTATGAGCTTCTTGGAGGCTCCGTGGACCTCCAAAAGCCAGACGAGTGCCCGAGAACGGCTCCTGGACAGGAGCAGGAAATGGGGACGGAACCATGGCTGCTGGGGCTGGAACCATGGCTGCTGGGGCCACGGCTTGAATCCTGGCCTTGCGTCTCTTTGAGGTCTTTTGGAGGCTCCGTGGACCTCCAAACGCCAGGCGGGATCCCAAAAAAGGATCAGAGAATGGAGACTGGCACTCAGGGCTACGCGAAAAAACTCTGAGAAATTCAGGCAACGAGCTCCTCAGCCATGGCACATTATCCACCTCCATTTGTGCTCTTTTCAGGACAGCCTCTTTCTCCCTGCTAGTCGAGGTTCCACTCCACACAGTATAAAGACATCGAAGGGAGTAATCCAGAGAAAGCAATTCAGCATCAAAATCAAAAACATAATCCGCTGGGTCCATAATTGGTCGGTTCATTCTGTAAGGAATGCGTGGAAAGGGTAGGACCCAAATGCAGACTACAAAGTAAAGTAACAAGGTCTCGAAACAAAAACGAGCTTTATTCTAAAGCTGAACAATAGCATGGCATGAAACACATAGGTTCTATAGAAACTGACCGTGACCAACAAGGTGGGAGACAGGAGAAACAAACAAGACTGACATGGAGGAAGACAGGAAAAACCAACAAGACTGACATGGAGGAAGACAGGAAAAACCAACAATGAACCGACAGGGGAACACAGGAAGAGACAAGACTAAATACAGGGAGGGGTAATCACAAGACGAGACACAGCTGGGGTAAGGGAGGCAGAAACACAAGGGCAACAGGTGAACACAATCAAACAATCAGACACACCAGGGAAACTAAGACAGGAAGGCAAACACAGGAAGAAGGAACAGAGAAGACACAAGGAGGAAAACATTTCAAAACAAAACAGGAACCAGAGACAGAAAAAGACAAGACAAAACACAACACAGACAGATCGTGACATTGATTGTGTTGTGTCACTTAGCTTACTTGTTGCATTGATGCACGATTTGACCAGGGATGTGATCTAAAAAGGTTAGAAGACTTTTCTCATTGTATTTATTTTTAAAATCTTATCAACATTCACCCTGGCTGTAGGACAGCTCATTATGCAGTGACACAATTCCTCCTACTGTTTCAAATGTTTCTAATCGGAATGATTAAATCTGGACGCCAGCCATTAATCCTCACATCTGTTACGACACTCATGCATCATGATTACTGTGACTTCCCTCTGACTTTGCCGTGCTTTCCTTCTCATCTATAGTGCAATTAACCCGGGATAATGGCCGACCCCTGCAGTAAATGGGTTTCATATCAGCCCTATCTTAATCATTAGATGCACTGACAATGCTCTCATTTTCTGCTGTGGTTAGAATAAAATGTGCTTCTGATGCAAGCTGGCTCACCTCCTGTTCCATTTGTTTCTGTTTCCTCCCACTCTCCTCCTCCTCCCCCCCCCCCAGGGTTTGCAGTAAACCTCCAGGTGATCCTGGCCAACCCGCGGGCTCAGTTCAAGCGCCGCGGCTCCCAGCCGGGGATGCAGGAGTCTGACTTCCTCAAGCAGATCACCAAGGTTACCGAGCTGGAGCCAAAGGCCAAAATTGCACCCGGGTCAGTAACCAGGCGACACATATTTTGTTGTAAATATCTGTTTGGTTTGTTTGTTTGTTTGTTTGTTTGTTTGTTTGTTTTACATCCCAGACACCTCAGGTCAGATTTTAACACATTGAGCACTATTCCAATTCTAACTTGTGATAATGTTTTTCACTGTTCATTTCCACCAATACCATTTACATGTACACAGTTGATACCCAAACCCTTATCCTAACCCAAACAAAACATTCATATTCAAAAAGTACTCCATGGTGTTTTCTGATGGATGAAAACTCTATGTGTTTTCCACAGCTGCTGTTAAATTGACGGGGCTTCTTTCTGCGGATTGATATGACTGCACATACTGTAGTCCAGGGCTATTCAATTGGCGGCCCGCGGGCCAAATCAGGCCCCGGGGTGATATTTACTGGCCCTTTGAGTATAATGTTAAAAAGTAATCAATTTTTTTTTTTAAGATTTTTTTTTTTTTTTTTTTTTGTGCCATAGTGCTTTTATTCCAGAGAGGGTGTTACATTGAGAGATAGAGGGGTAGACAATGCCTGAAAACTTCGACGGGCTCGGGTTTCGAACCCACCTACTATACTGTAGTGACAACTCCTGTCATTGATTGCATCTCTGCGTGAATGATTAGACCATTTCACCTAAATGAAATCAAATGAAACATGTAGGCCTACTGAGTTCTGAACTTGCCATTTAGATCTATAAAGGCCTTGGGGCTATGTTGTTTGATTGAATTAAACACAATATATGCACTCCACTATGCTGTTGTAGTATTTACTGTATCTGAAGCTCTTAATATGATTGCTCATATTTCAAGCCATCTTTTTCCCGGCCCCTTGCTTTGGATCATTTTCATCAACCGGCCCCCATTCCAAACTAATTGAATAGCCCTGCTGTAGTCCCTTGATCAGAGTGTCCTCCTTAGCAACAGTCTGCTCTCCTTAGCAGCAGTCTTTTATCCAAAAATAGCAGACCACTGGATTGTCCAAATTGACCAATCAGAAGACAAAATGGTTTGTATAGGCTACAAAAAATAAGTACAAACCAAATAAGATAACACTAACCCTAACCCATACACACATTGTGATGTATTTGATTCATTCAGGGTTATGGATACAAATATAGTTATTTCGTTAACTCTGTTAGAAATGTAACTAAATCATATTCCGATGAGGAGTATTATTCTCTAAAGGATTTTCTTGCACAAATGCATTTATGAATAAGCAGATAGTAGGTCTGCGATGCTCCTCTGATTGCTTTACAAACTTCCACTCTCTACAGTTAAGATTTAATTCCAACAATAAGGCAATATGTGGGTTGTTTTCTCTATCAAACGAAAGTGGTTTTTCTAAATGTCACATTAAGGTTTAGGGTCGATCAGTTATACCTTGCCACGCTGCACGGCCCTTCATATTGGAGGTGGATGGCACAGGGTTTAATAAAAGGCAAATTGTTCTGTCTTGATTGTTGGTGTGTGTGTCTGTGTCTGTGTGTGTGTGTATGATATCAAACTGCAGACTGTCATAATAACGTACCATCTCACAGGAACCAACCTTAGGGAATAGATCTCCACTATTCACAGCGTGAGTCATGCTTTGAGCAGCTGGCTAAACATAGACACACAGAGCTGGAATGTGATAGAATTGGCTTTATAGCACTATCAATTCTAGATGTGTGCTCAGACAGCGTAAATCGATGCAGCTCATCTCAAATGACCCTGGCCCTCAAGCCTCACCCTCTTGACACCTACTCCAGAGCCGCCTTAACCATTACAATTTCTTTAGATGGGGGTCAGGAGATCTGTAGAGGAGATGGCAGAATGTGCAGGAGAAACTCCCTCTGGAGGGAACACAGGGATTTTAGCCTTTGGAAGCCAAAAAAGTCTCGTCATTTCAAGTAGTGGAGTGTCATGGACTTGCACTATCTGGGGAACGAGCAGAACTAAGTGTTTTAAATGTTGTTAATGAATAAAAAGGTCTGTAGATTTAATAAACCTAATTATTTAATCATGCATCTATCCCTCGATTACTCTGCACACATTATGTTCATCTCCCTCTGCGGAGCAAGCAGCTGCTTCATCTGGAATAAACATTATGTGAAATCTCAATTTACTGACTATGTGTGTGGGTCACATAGTCCCTGGTGGGTTATGGGTAAATGTTTCCTTCAGGGAATAGGATGAATACCTCCGGAGTTGCTGGATCATCATTTACAGCTGGCGGCTGCTCAGTTGAAACCATCATCATCATTATCAGCACCATTACACTAATGGAGGTGCCTGCCGCTGATATTCAGACAGGCCATTAGGGGGCTGTGACATCATCAGTCAGCACCCAGCACGCCATAGACAAGAGGCGTGATATCAGCATTTATCACGTCAGTTATAAAAGGAGCAAGACGTGACATCATCACTCATAGAAACTGTCCTGAAGTTAGGAGAGGAGACACTCAGTGCCAGAGTTCTGTGATCCATGACACCACTGATCATGCAGCAGCGAGAGAAGGTGTGTGTTCATACAGTAACTCATAACCAGATTGTGTTGTATAATAATAAAGGATCAATAGAGAAGAAACTTATTGAAAAATATATAAATCTATTTCACTTTCTTTTTAGAAAAAATGCAGTCAAATATTTGTTTCTAAATGGAAATGGCAACAATGTATTGTATGGCCTATTTGAGAAAGGTGCATATTTCACTTCTAAGTTAAGATCCTAAGAAGATAAAAACAACTCAATATGGAAATATATGACTGATTAGCTTAGCTTAGCAAAAAGACTCCTAACAGTTAAACAAACTAAACTAACCCCTCTAAAGTCACTAACTATGATAATGGTCTATCCAATTTGTTTTAATGAATGTAAAAAAATCATGTTGAAATGAATATATAGTTTAGAGGACCAGCAAACCTGTTATCATTTTGGACAGAGCTAAAGCTAAGCTAACCGTTGCTGTATCTTTATATTAAACAGATACTACATAACTCTCAGCAAGCAAACAAATAATTATATTTCCAACACTGTTAAACATATAAGCTTCAAAGTGAATTTAACAATGTTATTCTTTTTTTATCCTGCCTGTATTCTCAGAACTCAATTAAATATCCACTTCTGGTCAGATCTCCATATCACCACATGTGGTCCTAATCCTCTTCTGTACAACCTTGACAGAGGAGGGCAGCCGTGGTTATCTGATGGCCGGGTCAGTATGTGCAGACTGACGCTGTAATGTAGTTACAACAGGAGAGTAATGGCAGCAGACCGCAGTGACAAGACAAGAAAGAAAGGGGGGGGGGGGGTACAGATAGAAGAAGATGATAGCAGGAGGAAAAGGAGAACGAGAAGAGAAGAGGGAAAGTAAAGAGGAGAGGTTGATGCTTTGACTGAAAATGGAGTTCAAAACAGACATAATGACAGCAGTTATAAAGGGACAAAAGAAAGACGGCTGATATGGACTGAATTGTCTATTTCATTTGCATTGGAGCTCAGGTTTCTGTTTAAAGTCATTGCAATTGATCTATGTCGCTAAATGCTTCTCTGACCACCACTTTATCTTGTTTGGGTGATGTGATCAAGCTTCTTGAGGGCACTTACAAATGGATTGTTCCTCTTGGTGGCACTTCGGCTTTGTGTTTCAAACTTTATTCTTTGAATCTTGGAAGCGGCAGCGTTTTTATTGCGTTTTTTTTTCTACTTTTCGACAAATATTTAGTGCATCTTTTTAGAATTAGTTACAATATTTAAAATTATTTTTGCCTTAGATTGTTTTCAAAAATAGATTGCAGTACTCCCTTTCATAAAAAAATAAGCTGTTTTATTTTTTGATAAGAAATATCAGAAAACTCTGTTAATTTGACCGGTAAAAGTGTAATTTATGGCGTGCAATCCAAAATGATTTCCACATTTTATTCTCAGATGTGTAGTTTGGCTAGTTTACCGGTGGAGCAATACACCAGAGTAACAGCTTATTTTAAAACTTTGAATATTACATTCATTTTAAATCAAGTGGTAAACCTTCTAGATCTCAGAATTGGTTTCTCAGGTTATTAGAGATCGGCATGTATGGTTTACTATAAGAAGAAGCCAGTGGTGATAGACAGAGCAATACCAGGAAGGAGGAACACGAGAAGCTTGGAAAATACTGAGGGCTTAGAAGAGCTAGAGAAGATGAGGAAGCAGTGGTTCCAGTGAGGGTCGGAGCACTACGGGCAGTAACACCCAAACTGGGACATTGGCTCCAACAGATCGCAGGAACAACATCCAAGATCTATGTCCAGAAGAGTGCAGTCCTAGGAAGAGCTAAGACAAGGTACAGAACCCTTGGGCTCCAAAGCCTCTGGTATGCTCCTTTTCCACCAAACCAGTTCCAGTTCTAGCTCCGTGCTTGTGCCTTTCTGGTTCCGAACTGGTTCTTCTTTTAGCCCCAGTTGTGTTTCCACGGCCCAGAGCCCGACTGGTGCTGCGTCATGACATCACCGTTTACGCCGCTGATTTTCTCCCCAACACTGCTCACAACAACAACAACAATGGGGGACTGCGTCGGGTCCAACCTTATACTTTTCTCCAGAGTGCCGTGGTTCATTGTTTATTATTGTGGTTCAGCGGCATTTACCGACCGCTGCAGTGCTGCTCGTCCACCGGAGTTTATTCTCCCGTTAACTCGCGGCAGCGGCCGCTGGAAAGTATTCACTGTCTGACTGTCACACACGCAGTTGATGCATTACTCGCCATGAGCTGTTATTGCTCAGGTTAATCTCGCCCCCCTCCGACATAAGCGTGAAGTATTGGTTCTTGGTTCTTGCCTGGTAGCCGAGTTGGGTCAACTAAGAACCGGTTTTCGGTGCTTAGCAGAGGTGTGGACTCGAGTCACATGACTTGGACTCGAGTCAGACTCGAGTCACCAATTTGATGACTTTGGACTCGACTTGACAAAATCACAAAACACTTGCGACTCGACTTGGACTTGAACACCAATGACTCGGGACTTGACTTGGACTTGAGCCTCCTGACTTGAGGTGACTTGATAATTTAATTCAGAGGTCTCCAACACGCCGATCGCGAGCTGCCGTTAGAAGAGCAGACTCCCGTCGGGGAAAGCAGAATCTTCAGCCGCTGCAACTCTTGCTGTGAATCCATGCAGGCAGGGGCGGGACTTTATTTTGCTGAGCCACCATGCGGCCAATCATATGCGAGGACACACTAGGATCATACCATTATGTGAAAGAAGGGTGGGGGGCATACGCTCCAAAGACAGCAGGTGTAATGCAAGCGCGTCGGAAAGAGTCAAGAAATTTGCGAAAACCGAAAAAAGAAGCAGCATCTGGCTGCATTTCAATGATATTGGAGAAAGCAAAGCTGAGTGCAGGATTTGTAAAATGAAAATAGCCTTCAGAGCAGGGTTTTTTTTTGGTAACCACTCAGGATTTATTGCCAGAGGTGGGAGAAGTTCAGATCTTGTACTTGAGTAAAAGTACCTGTGTGTAGGAATACTCGGTTACAATAAAAAGTCCTGCATTTAAAATGTTACTCAAGTAAAAGTAGAAAAGTATTATCATCAAAATATACTTAAAGTAGGCCTACCACCTGCAGAGGGATGTAGATTCAGGTTTTTTTTCCGCATAAAGACCGCCTCGCTGCACATTATCCCTTGCATAAAGATAGGTTGTGGGTCCCTTATAACATGCTGTACACAGTGGAAATAAACATTCTGGTCACCTCAACATCAGGGATCTTATACATTAAACTCCTTCTGAATCAAACCGTCACGGTAGCCTTACCTTACTGATCCCTCTTAAAATAGAAGAAAACACGTTACTTTACCAGCAGAGAGAAAATTGATTATTAAATGATTAATGTGACTAATAAAGAGCAGTTTGATTATTAAGTATTATTCTGATCGATGTCATTACATTTGTTGAAAAGCACATAATGACTTGTTTAAGACTCGTTTTGTCAAAGTTTAGGACTTGGACTTGACTTGGACTTGACTTGAACTTGCCCATCCTGACTTGAGACTTGACTTGGACTTGAGCGCAAAGACTTGAGACTTGACTCGGACTTGAGCGCAAAGACTTGAGACTTGACTCGGACTTGCAAAACAATGACTTGGTCCCACCTCTGGTGCTTAGTGCCGGCCCCGCTGCAGTGGAAACAGGAAGAACCAGAGCTTAATCAGGCTCTAGCCCGGAACCGGCCCTGGAGCCGGTTTGGTGGAAAAGGGGCATTAGTGGACCTGAGCCTGGAGGAAGGAAGACTGACAAAGCGCATTTTTTTCTGACGCGCCAATCTGCAAACTGGACCTTCATTCTGATCCCAACTACAGATCGATCAAGTTTTGTGACTGCATCTAGTAAGACAGAATCACAAGTTGAAAACAGCATCAGCTTTGCTGGAAGTGATGGCTAAAGTTACTAAAATAGTGCAATTCTCTGAGAAGTATCCTATTTCATTGCCAAAGTGAAACTGTTGCTCCCCAGCAGTGCCTCCACTGCTTCTCCACAAACCCCTCCTTCCCATGGGGAGAAACAGTCCTGTCCTCTCTGTCGCTGTTAAGGCAAAAATACTCTGACCTATTAAAGCTTCCTGCTTCCACATGCGGGAGGAACAGAAAGATAGAGAACGAGGTAAAAACAATAGCAGAGCCGTCCGGGGAAAAAGTGGACGTGATGAATGAAGAGAAAGCAGAGCAGGCTGGGAGAAAGAGGCTGATGAAGGAGTCAAGAGAGAGGTGTGGGTCCGATCCGAGCACTTTTATTTGTCAGTTTGAATGTCCCATGATTTGACAAAAACATTTCTTTACATGTACAACATGTCTTCTCTCCAGTCTTTAGTCTCACTCAGTGCTGCTCTGCCTCCACCTGCCGTGCTGTAGTCATCCGAGCGTGGCAGCCTCTTCATGCTTTATTAAGTGCGCTGCATTTCCTCTGTCAGCACATTTCCTCACTCCTCGTCTCCTTCTCTCTTTCAGGTGCTGGTTTGGCACACTCGCACAGAGAAACCGCACCTCGCCAATGAGCCCAAACATCGGAAAGACACTGTGGTCATCGAGGTGTGAGCAGCAGATCCAGAGCTGAACGCGCCTGCCAGTCTCCTCCTGGCTGGGACTAACGGCAGCCCCCCCCCACCCCCCCGGGACCGATGCAATCTGTTCACTGACTCTGAGGAGCTGCATGATTCAAGGCTGTGTGTCAACAGTGCTTCGCAGGAACTAAGACAACACTGAATATGTTTCACACTGGAAAGACTGGGACCACTCGTTTCCTCCACTCACGGGTCGTTGATGTGAAAAAACAGAAGTATAAACGTCAAAAATGTTGCAATGTGAATAACTCATGTCATTTAATCATTAATACATTATTGTCAAATGAACTGAGTCTGTACAAATAATTACAATAAACGCGACTTGTGGTCCAGATAATAAATGTGTATGAATGTGGTATGCTATGCTGTTTTTACCTCAGGAGTCAGAGACCGGGAAGAACCTAACCCTCGGGGGTTAAATTGGGGTCTTTTTTAATATTGTTGACCATTTCAAATATCTAAACCTGTCCATGACTTTTAAAATGTCAATTTCTATTTGCATTCTTGCTGAAGAACAGTGAAAATAAGCTACATTTGTAGTTCACTGCCGCTCACTGAATACACGTTATCCTGCAGCATTATGGCCAAATGATAATCATGATTATTTTTGATCAATATCAAGATCATGATTATTTATCACGCTTGCTCATTATTGCACTTTTACATTTAAATAAACAAAGCTAGACTTCTAATGTGCAATTAGTGCTGCACCCAGGTCGCCTGGAGGAAAACTTCTCCAACACTAGCTGGGGTCTATGACTTTAAAGTGGACCTATTGTGCTATATTTGAAAAATATATTGTTGGGCCATACCTATACAAAACATGTCTGTGAAGTTTTTGCTTAAAATACCAAACAGATCACCCATTGTAGCCATGCCTCATACCCCTCTATTCTCCTCTATTCCAGCCCTGTTCCAAAAAGGCTGATTCTGTGACCGTAGCTTTAAATGGAACAGCTGCTGCTAGCCACGCCCCTTTGTAGCATCACGCAGCTTTCCCCTGCTAAGAGAGTTTTCTACCGGGAGAAACTCAGCTAAACGCTGCCGTGATTAAATGCCATATTATGTTCCAAACCACATCAAGCATTATTTCTGAAACAGTATGGAGCTCAAACGTTTCTCTCTCGCAGGGTTTACCACAAGGACATTACGTTACACATATTCTCTCCAGTACAGCGTTAGCTCTGAGTGTTAGCGATGCTTGCTAATGTAAACACAGACCATATTACTCCCAAATCACGCCGCACATTGTTTCTGATACAGCACATAGCTTAACATGTTCTTTCTTAAGTGTTTACCGCTAGAACAGTGCCATTATATGTATTATATACAACAATTTACTCTAAGTGCCTCCTGCAGACATCCTACTGAATACACAGACACACAGCTGCGAGAGGGGATTCAGCTAGACGACTGTATACGGAGACGATAGGTCACGTGTGCCACATTTCGCCAATGACGTCATAGGAGCCAAATCCTGGATCTGCTCGTTTGCACTCCCCTTTCTTTTCTTTTTTAGAGATGTGGGTAAGGAGGAAAAGAGAGAGGGTTGTATTTTCTGAAAAATAATTTTAAAGTTACACAGAGACATTGGATTAACCGTTTTTATGATAAAATGACGTAGAAAAGATTGCTTTTGCCAGTTATGTGCTAAAGTAGCCGTTAGCCCCGTTAGTGTTGATTTAGACTCTTGGTGTTGGACTTCTGTTCCGTGTAGTTAAAATGGTTAATATCGTCTGTTAGCTGAGTTTTTCCCGTTAAGTCCCTATGGTCTGCCCCTGGGAGTCTCACAATAATAAGAGCGCTGTTAGGAGAGATGACGAGTGGCATTCACAGTGGCCAATCAGAGTGGTACTCAAACCGGATACGTCACACGGGATGAGGGTTCCCAACCAACCAGAATTGTTTAAACTAAGGAAGTAGTGTAATTCATATACCGATAGCAGCACCGTTTGTCCAGCGGCTTAACGGTATACCAATACCGTCCAATCAGGTACCGGTACTGACTTAGTACCGGTTCTCGATACCCATCCCTGGCTATCGGTATATGAATTACGCTAATTCCTTAGTTTAAACAATTCTGGTTGGGAACCCTCATCCCGTGTGACGTATACGGTTTGAGTACCACTCTGATTGGCCACTGTGAATGCCCCTCGTCATCTCTCCTAACAGCGCTCTTATTATTGTGAGACTCCCGTCCCGGGGGCAGACCATAGGGGCAGACGCAACATCTTGCTAGAAACAGCGTCTCAAGGCTTCTTAACATTTAACAACCTATTAATGATGCATACCCACTTAACGGGAAAAACTCAGCTAACAGACGATATTAACCATTTTACCTACACGGAACAGAAGTCCAACACCAAGAGTCTAAATCAACACTTAGCAAAACGGGCTAAAGGGGCTAATGGCTACTTTAGCCCATAACTGGCAAAAGCGATATTTTCTACGTCATTTTATCATAAAAACGGTTAATCCAATGTCTTTGTGTAACTTTAAAATGATTACTGATAATCCATCATTACAATTATAAATAATAAACGGATTATAATGGTTAGCCGACCGGAGCTTCCGGTTTAGGAGGTGCGCACGCAGCGTCTCGTTTTAACTGAATAATGGTCATGTTTACATGGATTTATGAACTGCCCCTAATTACCGCCCCCCCTTCCAGAGACACACTGTCAAACACACCTATATACCTGCTTACATATGCTTGGTATGACATTGAAAAAGTTACATTAAATAATAAATAAAAATAAATTACAATAAAATGACTGTTGTTTAATCTTCACATCTTGTAATCATGTCTATAAGTTTGAGCACCAAATTATTGAAAAGGACCGATAAGAGTATAGAAAAATACCGGTATCGATAAGCAGCATCGGTATCGGTATCGGTATCGATAAAATCCTAACGATACCCATCCCTACCGGGGACACATATTTTTTCAACATACTATACTAGGATTTTTTCCCAATTTGTTTTAACCTACTTACCAATGCATTTGTACTGGATATTTTTTGCAATACTAGACTATGATATTTTTCATGTTACTTGTTAGACGCCTTTATCCAAAGCGACTTACATACTCAATACTGTGGACAATCCCCACAGGAGCAATTTGGGGTGAAGTGTCTTGCCGAGGGACACAACAACATGCTGACTGCAGTGGGGTTTGAACCTGTGCTCCACTGATCCGAACAGCAATGCACTACCCACTGTGCCACACGCCTTTCATGTTTTCGGACATACAATATAATGTAGTATCCAACATACTATACAATGATTTTACATTATACTTTCATTATATGTAATTTTGGACACACAACACTATACATTTTTTCGTTATATTATGACTTTGTCATATATTTCATCATACTATACCGCACATATTTCCATGATATTTTCAAAATGATATACTATATACTTTTTTCATATTTTCAGCATACCATACTATGTTTGCTTTCTTTTTTTCAACATCCAATAATTGTATTTAATTAATAATTTAATTATTAAATTGATTTTGTCACAAGGGAGGCTGTGGCTCAGTGGATAGTGTGCTGGACTTCAAATCAGGGGATAGCAAGTTCAAACACCACTGCAGTCAGCATGTCGTTGTGTCCCTGGGCAAGACACTTCACCCCAAATTGCTCCTGTGGGGATTGTCCACAATACTGTATGTAAGTCGCTTTGTATAAAAGCGTCTAACAAATGTAATATGTATTTTCAACAAACCATTCGCTGACTTTTTAATTATAATTGTAACCTACTGTACCAAGACTTTTTTCATATTTTCCGACATACAATACTATGAGTTTTTTCCTGATATTTTCAACATGATATACTATAGACTTCTTTGACATAGTATACTATGACTTATTTTTGACAAACTACACCTTAACTTTTTTATAATTTTTCGAACAAAATGCTGAAATTTCCATTGCATTTATGTTGAAATTGATCTTTTTATGACCTTTTGTGTAAACGTTTTGCCATATAAAATACTATGACTTTTTCATATTTTTCAATGAACCATTCACTGACTTTTTTCATTATAATTTGAACCTACTGTACTGAGAATTATTTTATAATATATGCCACTCACTATATTATGATTATTTTTCTTTTATCTCTACTTTGCCTATTTTTTACTTTGCACATTTTCTCCAAAACTATACTGTCAAATGTTTGCATATTTTTCCAAATACTAGACAATCCCCTCAATTTGTACCTAATATTCCTAACAAATTATAGTTTATAATTTATTGTATATTGTCATACTATCCTATGTCGTTTTAAATGATATTTTCAATGTACTATGATATATTTTTGAAATACAATATTTAGACATTTATTTTTAACATATTTTTGAAATACGTTAATATGTCCGTTTTTCTGAAAATGTCGACATTAACTTTTTTATTCATACTAGTATTTCATTTTAAAGGATCATTTCAAAATACCATACAATGTTTTTGTTTTTTTCTTCTTAGACTTTAAAAAAAATATTTTTGACACTGATACTATACTGTGAAATTTGAAGGTTTTTCGCTGCCGACTTCTCACATTTAAGACCACCTGCTCAGGTAAGTGGGAGGCGGAGGATTGCCATCTTCACCAACCACATACTGTAGCAGATTGCAAAACTGGGATGGCTCACCAACAGTAAGTTAAACATCTCTGACACTGGCTGGTGTCGGGCTGTTAGTCCAGGACGCACCTGATTTGATAAGCACCGCCAAATGGATGTAGCACATAAATTACATTTATTTTTTGTAAAAATACCTTATGTTAAAGTGTGGGGGGTTGATGACATGAAAGTGTTTTAAGAATTACTGACTGATAACTTGGGTGTTGTTCACCCATAAATATCTGTAAAATCACAAATTGCAGCCCTACAACGTGTTTCCATTTAAACAAACTAGATTAAATTGGTTAATAAGGGCGGATAGCCTTTTTGGAACCACAGAAAAAGCCATTTAGCAGTTTTTTCCTTGACTCGTGTTTATGTTTATGCTAAGCTAGGCTAACCACAGCCCATCTCCAGCTCTGTAGGCTACGCTCATGAGCTAATTCAAATGTTGGAATGGATTTATTTCTGCATCAGAACCATTTAAACACATGCCAAAAGGTCTGTTTATTCTGAAACAATCTTTGTTTAAATGTATCCCTTTAGTGTCTCAAATGGTAATGATTAGCTTCATAAATGCTATCTCATTCTCCTTATCATCACCCTGAAATGACTACATATAATGAAATGAAACCACCTTTGCTGTCCTCTCAATCTGTATCTCTGTGATCATGTTTGGACGCGGCTGACGTGAAGTAACAAAAAGAGATGACTCTCCTGACAAGCTGCCATCAATAATGTAGAGTCTGTGAGGCGGCAACAAAGAAAACTTGTCTCACAATACGACGCACTTGCCAGTGGAGGAATAAAAGGGAATGAACTGAATAGACAGCAAATAAAAGCACATTGGAGACAGGCTGCTAGTTCTATCGACCTTCAGTGTGTTTTGAGGAAAGCATTAAATCAAGTTTAGAGGGCAACATGTGGGTGGATGATAAAAACACGAGACAGGATTAAATCCAGGATTCAACAGCATTTATTTCAAATGACCCTGTTGTTAAACTTGAAACAGAAAAGAAGGAGCAAACAAAACATCTCCATGAAGATAAAACTTTTACAATTGAAAGAGTCATCGGACAAAGTGAACAATAATTCCTGGATTCTTTTTAAATGCACGGAAACCACCGTTCTGTGAACTTTAGGCACCAGAAATTGTAAACACATTGGAAATAAACCTGGAGGACAATAACTAATATATTTATCACCCAATAAACAAGGACTGAACAGTGATGCGACCCATCCAGAGTTTTCATACAGGTCCCCTTCTGCAAGGACCATCCAATCCTGTTCCTCCTCACCCCGATGACGGGCTGATCTGATTGGTCTTCCAGGTTTATTTGCTTATCAGACTAAACTGTGCTTCTCTTGTACTGCACACAACAAAACACCACAGTAAAGATGGCAGATGGCTGAACATACAGTAATAGTGTCAGACATGAAGGGAGTCCCAGACGTCCTGTATTTATTTGACCCGTCCAAAAAAAGTCCCCCATTTTATAAACGCCGAAAAACAAACGTAACCCAGGAGAAAATGTGTTTCCTTTAATCAATTAACCATGACAATGCTTTTTTGTTGTATGGGAATGTCCTTATGATGGACACAAGTTGGTTAGCAGACAGATATGAGATCAGTTTAAATCTTCTAATCAAACTGTCTGCAAAAAGGAAAATCCCCAAATATGGAACCATTTATTTTTATTGGAATATCTGGAATGGTGGTCCTGTCTGAATGGGATAATCGATATTGTTAATAAAATGACAGCCAGTTCGTGTTCACTTTCTCAAATCAGTTACAGTTAGCGGGGTGGAAGAATGTTTTTTCTTTTGGCTGCATCACCTACTTGTGTCACAGTTTGTATATGCTTATGAGTTGGGAGGAGTTCAATAAGTCCCAATAGGTAGGACTCCAACAAGATATACATTTATTTTTTCCTATTCTATCTTGCAACCCTTCTGTTGTGTAGCTTCTGATCTCTCAAAGTTAAGAACCACTGCTTTAACTCCCTAGAAGTCATGACAGTGACAACAGTTTTGAGTGCCCAATGCAACCACACTCACACAACACGTATGATAAGGACTTGTTTATGCAGTGTGTGAGCAGCTGGTAACAGACTCTTTACTGTAGAGCCGATCAGTAGATGTAATGAGACTTTATTTTTTACTGTTGAATGTTTGACATTTCTGATAGGTAAATGGTCAATTTATGACATTGACGCAGTCAGTGCAAATCACATCTGATGTATAAGCAGCTTTAGACCAGTCAAATCCCATTTAGCAACTCCACAGGATGCTCTAAAGTAAACTGGAGAAACTCCTCCCCAGATCTTATGGAGAGAACTCATTGAGAAGTCATTGAGAGTGGGAGCATCGACCCCTCACCTATGGCTCTGAAATAGTGGGAGGTTCACATCATAATCACATAAATACAGTACTGTTCAGACAACTATCTGCTACAACACTCGCCCTACAGAGATGGGAGGGGGAGGGTTACAATATACAACGCAGAGAGAAGGGCGAGGACATGATGGCTTAGACCAACCACAAGATAGCCATATCTACTGTAGGTATTAACAGACTATTCACTAACTACCAATTTTGGTAATGATATAATATTACTATAATAGACACATATTGGTCCAGTAGCTTTCTTTTTGATTCTGCTGTATTTGTCTCTTTCCTCAGACAACAACAATAAAGGAAATTCAAAAAGGAAATTGAACAAAGATGAGAAACGACAGCTGCCACTCTTCAACAGATACCTGCCGCAGAGCTCCCATGGTGGAAAACCTACTGTTTATTCATGTGGGTTAAAGGTCCCATGTCATGCTTTTCCGGTTATTACCCGTCCCCTTGTGTTATGAAGGTTTTTCTGCATGTAAACGGTCTGCAAAGTCACAAACCCTCAAAGTACACCCTGTAGCGAGTACAACTCTAACACAGAAAAGACCTGTCTATGCTGCCCCAGAACGCCTCGTTGGAGATTTTCCTTTTTCCATTTTCTTCTTGCTGGGTACAGTGACGTGACCATAGCGAAATGGACCCAAATGGACCAATCCGTGGAGCTCCTCACACACACACTCTCTCAGCGGCGAAACTGTGACGCGCTCGGGGGGGTTGCTGCAGCCCCCTCAGCACCCCCCCCTTCCCGCGTCCATTCGCAATGTCTCGCTGTCTCGCAGACCCCACGCAGCAACCAGGAAATGACACCAGCTCACACTGTCCGCTCCTCACAGCACCCAGACCCCACGCAGCATTCTCATCTGTTTGTCATTACTGGTGTCATTTTCTGGTTGCTAACGCCATTGTAACACATAATCACTGATGCTCCGCTGTAACGGTGGTGGACTCATCAGAACAGAGTGGGCGAGCTGACCAATCAGAGCACAGTGGGCTCACAGGGAGGGGGGGGCAGGAGCTCCAACAAGCCGTTTAGGACAGAGAGTGAATACACATACTATACAGAGATGCTGTATGAGAAACCAATGTGAGTTTGGAAAATTGCACAATGTAAATCTATTCTAGTATACCTCAACAATGGAATTATGATCAGTAGAAATGGCCATGACATGACAAAAAGCACTTTTGTTAAATTCACGTTTATCAATAGAAATTATTACATAGCACTGTATTTAAAGTATTCTAGGTAAACAACACAACCGTAACATTTGAATGAGTGTTACTTATAAAATGAAGTACCCCAACATTAAGTAGTAACTAATTTACCTTATTGATTTGCCAACGTTAGCTAGCTATGCTAATACTGCCAGTAAACTAGCATTAACATTAGCAAAAACAACAGGAACCAAATGCAAAAAGCTTAATGTAATAGTTTAAGCAAACAAAACATTTTTTATATTTAGATGTAAATTACAACCTGTCAAATTAAATAACGTAACAATAGGCAGCAAATAACTTACTAACCTTATGAGTTTGCCTAAATTAGCTAGCTAGGCTAATATTGTCAACAACTGACGAACGTTGGCAAAACAGGAAACAGCTTAATGTAACAATTTAAGCAAACAATACAATCTCAATAGTTATATATAACTGAAATTTATAAAATTAAATATCGTTACCTAAAGGCATTAACATATTAACCTTATGCTTTTGCTAACATTAGCTAGATATGCTAATATTATAACAAAACTAACATTAACGCTAACAAAACTACAGGGAAACAATTCTAAATCTTAATGCAATGATTTCAGATAACAATACAATTAATGACATTAGCATAGCTAGCTTATGTTAGCAAACTCATAAGGCTAATACAAGTTATTAACTGCTTCGTAACTTTAATAATCTAGCTTCACTGAAATGTTAAGGTTGAATTGTTGGCCTTGGTGTGATTGGTGGAGGTTGTATTTGGAGCAATAAATGCAAGCTATCATATCCTGATGGTCATCTCTGGTGTTCACAATTTCAGACATCACTTCCTTCTCCAGCCTGGAGCTCTGCAGCTACACCTTTCTCGTCTTTTCTTTTATCCCCTTCATTCAGTTTCTTCTATTTTTAAAGGAAATATGGACGTTTATAAGGTTTTGGGGGGGGTATGGAGGTACCCCCACTGTGCGTTTTTTATTCTGAGCTGTCAGGAGACAGTGGGTCAGGAGCTTATTTTGTTGCCATTAGACAGCCCTCTGTTTCCCCACTCCTTCTCCGGAGCCCCCCCTCGTCACTTCCACAGCTGAGTGCTGAGGGTCTGGCCAGAAGCCGTCGGTGGGGCGGCGGGCCAGCCAGCCGCGGGGGGGCCTGACTGTCCACTCACTGCCATGCCTGACATCTGCTGGGTCATCTGAGTGGGAAGAGAAAGAGGACAGGAAGTCAGTGTTATGATTCATCAGAGCTAAAATAGAGAGCTCCTCCCTGAGGCACACTCCCCTAACTCCATGCCTCGGCTTTTACCTTCGCCTCTGCTCTTAAAGCCTTCCGGCTCCCCCAGCTCGATGCCCTCTCCACCCCCCCCCAACCGTCCCCACTTCTCTGTTCACCTCCATCTCTTCGCCCCTTTCTGCCTCCTCTGCTCCACTGCTCGTTCTCCTCCTTCCATTCTGCCTTATCTATTATGAATGTGCTTTGGTGCAGAGCTACTTGCTTATCTGGTCATCTCACAGCTGAGAGAGTGTGTGTGTAGGTTTGTGTGTGTTTATCAGCCGAACCTGGACATGCAAGCAACCAAGCACTTGTTCAACAAATGTGTGTGTGGGTAGATATTTAAGATCTCTTATTAGCCTCCCTAAATGTCACCACAATAGTTGTGCAAACACAAACACTGTATAAGGACTGGGTGCATACGGGGTGTGTGTGTGTGTGTGTGTGTGTGTGTGTGTGTGTGTGTGTGTGTGTGTGTGTGTGTGTGTGTGTGTGTGTGTGTGTGTGTGTGTGTGTGTGTGTGTGAGCAACTTGGACAGAGGTGTTGACGGGAGTGTTGGTCCATTATAAATACAGCTGGTAGTCTTTATGTTAACACTTTGGGCATATTAAATATCTACGGGAGCCCTGAGGGGCAACAATAAAAAAAATACTTTTATTCACCTGACAACAATGGATTATGCCATATATAATTAAAGGCTCTAACAGAGTAACTCAGAAGTCAACAAACTGTCTCCACCCAGACTACTTACATTTCCCGTTAGCTTTAACTTAGTTAATGTATTGAAACATTGTGGTGGTGGCACTTGGGTTTTATAATTATGTCTTGTTTAATTAAATCCCTAAATGGTAGTTCAGCTTCACTCTAAGCCCTTTGAGACATTTGTGATTTTGGTCTGCATAAATTAAATTGACTTGAATTTGTAAGCTGTAAATATTACTGAACTTCATTAATTGGAGTAAAATTAAAAGCTTTGAACCCATTTTCCATCTGCCGTTAACACGTTGTCTGAATGAGGCAAAAATGCATCAGGTCCAAATAAAGTTCATGCAGCAGCTTTGGTTCTCTTTACATCACCTTGAGTAAATGGGGCATTCAAGGCTGTTTACGAAGGTGAAAAAAGGACGTAACAGATCGACCTGCTGTCATTAGAACACAGCTAGTTTCCTCTCACTGGTCTATAAGAAATGGACCTCAGAGCGATCAAATGCCTCACTATAACAAAGGACACTGATCACCCTTGGAGCCAACTGTTCACATTACTGGGGGAATCTCTCGGCGGTCATGGTCAGTGGTTCGAGTCCCAGTACAGACCAAAAAAAACAACGTTTGTACCTAGTGTCTTCTTCTACTGCCATCTGTTCGGAGATACAGCAACAACTTAACGATATGCATCATTGACGGCTTGTTACTTTAAGATAGTTTCGATGCAAACAGAACACATGAGGATCATATAAGGAATAACTGAATTGGACAAATGGAGCATTACATTACATGTTAGACACTTTTATCCAAAGCGACTTACATACATTCAATACTGTGGGCAATCCCCACAGGAACAATTTGGGGTGAAGTGTCTTGTCCAAGGAATGTTGACTGCAGCGGGATTCTAACCAGTGCCCCCGTGATCCAAAGATCAGCGCACTAACCACTGAGCCACAACCTCCGAACCAACAGGCTTGGTGTAGCGGCCAAAATCATATAGAAATTAAACAGATAATTAACTTAAAATAACACTGCCGCTGAGGCACTAGTTAGTGGATCTTACGCAGGGCAATGATCCAAGTCCAGACAAGAATCTCCGTTTGTGCATTTATATATGATCCAATATCATTAACAAAGGATAATCATCAGGTTTCCTATGTTTCTTTGCTTTAGCCTTTCCTATGGCTTCCTTTCTTCTGGCTCGAAACACCCTGGTAAAAAACCATGTGCCTACTAGTGCTCTGTTCACACCTCCACCTGTCTTTAATATATACAATTACACCAGGTGCTCTAATCACCTAGTGCCCAACACTGCCTTCAAAATAAAAGCATAGAAACTACTTCAATAACAATAACTAAGAATACATTTACTATAAACAGCAAGAAAATAAACGTTTAAGTATTAAATAATATAAGCAGGGTTGGGAGGGTTACTTTGTAAATGTAATCAGTTACTGATTACTGAATACATGGCTCTGAAAGTAATCCGAATACAGTTACAGTTACATGTCTTAAAAAAGTAACGTAATCAAATTACTTTTAGAATACTTTTGGAATACTTTCTTTTTCCATCACATACGGGTATGTTTTGGTGAACAGGAGACACAAAAAGCAAAAGGAAACTGAACGTGTTTTTACTGTTTTAATGGCTTATCAAGAGCACAACTGAAACATAACATCTGAAACGATGTAACAACATAATACACTTTTTGGGGATGCAGCTTGGGATGTGAGGAGTGAGGGACACGGCTTAGAACGGGCGTGTCGCCTTCTGTCCTGCCAGTGTTGGCAGGACTTCATTTTAAGGACATTTTGGCCAGGGGTGTAGGGCTATATTTGTTTAAGCACCGGATTGGCAAAACAGGAGAGTGTGTGCACCAGTCTGCCTTGATCTATGAATTCATGTCCGTGACACTCACAGTATCTGCTGCCCACAGCTGTTTTATAGAAGGAAAACCTCCTTCACTTCATGAAATCTCTGCAGCACCAGGAGGCAGCGGGAGGGTTAACTTAGCCTCTGAGAAGAGGAGCGCGCAGTGCCTTTCACGCACCGCCTTCACGCACCGCCTTCACTGCGTTTACCTTCAGAAAGAATCATTAGAAAGGCTAAAGAGCGACTGCAGGCTGATGTGTTTTAACCACACACACCTCTACACACACACACAATTTCAACGCAGACTTTTGTTCCTCCATGTTTCGTTGTTATTGTTTCACTGAGCGGACCCGCACATTTTTTTCAAACGCTCCCTTTTTTGGTCCATCTGCAGCGGTAATAGGTTTTGTGCGCTGTGATGATTCGGCTGTACCTTTAGTAATGAATATTAAATGTTATGAGGAAATCTTCCCACCAATAATTCCAATAAGTATTCCAAAATGTATTCACTTTAGGTTTACGAAAGTAACTGTAATCAGATTACTCGTTTTTCAAATGTAACGCGAGCTGAATACAGTTACTTGATTTTTGTATTCTGATTACGTAACGCTGTTACATGTATTCCGTTACAACCCAACCCTGAATATAAGGCAATATATACCGCCGACACTTGGGCTCTGTTTGTTTCAAAATGCATCCTATCTGAGCTGACCGGAGCAGATGCGATTTTAACTAAAGGACCAAGTATTGCACCACAGTGTTTATTGGTCCAACTGACCACTGGCTATTTATATGTGAATTAACCACGCACCTTTAGAGTCTAAAGGCCGGAGCTAGCATATTACTGCACTGGGCTTCGCAGAGGGAGCACATTAATGTATAAGACTGTATAAACTATAGCACCAGGATTTTGGAACTCTCTGACAGAAAGGAAAGTACATTCTTATTTAGGTGACAGATATTACAGTTAACATATAAATTGGCTTTGTAAGATTAATGCACCCAGGAACTGGAGTGGAATTATAATCAGCCAAATGTGAAAATGGTTTTATCATGATGCTAAAATGATACACAGTGCAAAGTATTCACCCCCCCCCCCCTTCCATGGGATTTTTACAATTTGATTGAATTATAAACTTCAATTTAAATTGAGTTGTATGTTGATATTATGTGATGGACCCACACAAAATTGTCAAAATTAATTAATTAAGAAAAAGACAAAGCTGGCTTGAAAAAATTATAAAAACCAAAAAGTAGTGTGCGCATATGGAAGAGTGGCCAGAAAAAAAGCCAATGCTCAAATCATGTTTGGATTTCACCAAATACCAACGCATGCTCAAATCGTTTTTTATTTTAATATTACTTCTTTGTTTTACATCAAAAAATCATTTGCATCTTTAAGCATTAGGCATGTTGTGTACATCCAATAATACAATCTCTCCAAAAATATACTCAAATGACAGGTTTTAATGCAATAATATAGGGTGTGAATGATTTCAATGGCGCTGTATGTCTGTGAGGCTTACCTGGTTCATGCCCCACTGTCCTTGCTGCGGCCCCTGGTTGGCTAACACACCCCCCTGCTGCTGCATGTTCATGTAGCCGCCATTAGGCACCGACATGCCGGACATCATGGCCCCCCCACCCATCCCTGGAGTGAAACCCTGCGGAGAGAACTGCATCTGAGGCTGGCCCACGAACATCCCTGCTGCGGCAAAAACACACACAGTTCTTCAGGTTAACTTTCATAGTAGTGAGCAGGTAAAAAGAGAAATGTAAGACATTTAAGACAGAAATAGTTACTAACAGTTAATATTGAATGATCATAACGGGTGAATGTTGCAGTTCAGCTTTGCAGCTTTCCTTTGAAGATCTGTTTTTTTGCTTTAACCTCAGAAAGAGTGGAACCTGGCAGGTGATTTTCCGGCACTGCATTGATTTCCGCTGCCTTGTGAAATGAGATTACTGGGAAACACTCCAGTTGAAAAGGGTACAAAGATTACTTCCATTGACAACATCCTAACATAAATTAACCCTTTCTAGAAACTGATTTTTCTGAAGTCTATATGTGTTGTTGGGATGGAAACTTCCACCCTGAAATTAACTGTATTGGCTTTAAAAGAAAGCCAACAATTTGCTAACAATTGTGCTCCTCTCCTGTGGAATCAGCTCCCAGCAGGCAGACACCGTCTCCACAATTAAGAATAGGCTTTATACTTGACTTTTTGATAACGCTCAGGCTTGCCTTGAACCAGCCCCTAGTTATGCTTTAGGCTGAGACTGTTGGGGGACTTTAACATTTCATCTCTTTTCTATTTCTCTCTATCTCTTTGCACTCATGTCCCAAACATGCATGTGACTAACTGAGCATCCGGGGCATCATCACAGAAATGTGTGTGCCTTCACCTGGCAGCAGGTCAGTATTAAAGGGTTCAGGAGGTTTTGCTGTGGTCCTGCATCATGGCCACCTTTAAAAAATGTTGTCCAACACCTGGAAGATTGTCGACATCCACTTGGATCCGACGTCATTTCCTTGTTTATATATACACAATGTTCTTATATTTGGACTCTCTATGGATTGTCTATGGTATCTTTTTAATGTATACACACACCATCTCATACAGGTCTGTCCTAGGAGAGGGATCCCTCCTATGTTGCTCTCCCAGAGGTTACTTCCAAAGACAAATGTGTAATTTGTGATATTGAGCTACATAAATAGATTATAACAATATATATATACATTTGCTTTGATGCATTTAACTCCAGATATAAGGATAATGTGTTTATCTTCAACTCTCAACGGTGGTGATCACCATTGTTAATTCATTGTCAATTAAAGTTATCTTAGAGTCCACTGTTTGCTGTTGGTTTTCCACATCAAAATACCGTCTCCACAGAAAAAAAGGCTACGCTTTAGGAGTGGATCGTGAGAATCCAACACACACACCCACACCCACACACACACACACACACACACACACACACACACACACACACACACACACACACACACACACAGAGAGATTTGTGGCATTAGCCTGGCTTCTTTCGGCTTCATCCTGATTTCCTTTCCTAATCCTCTATAGTGCAGCAACATAATCAATATGCACAAGTGCAAATCTGCTGCCTACTATCTTCTACCCATCAGAAACATGAGGCGCTTTCCCTCACTCTCCACTGTCAGGTTGATGTAGCATGTGTGGATAAACAACAGCCCACGTACGCTCACATAAACAGTCTTGGCGCTCCGTGTTTCCACATAATAACTGTGAGATGAGTGTGAATCTGTTTTACTGCTGCAGGGGGGCCCAGTAAACCCGCCTGCGTTTCCCCACGCTGACCTTTCATCTGCCTTCACTCTCCTCCACTTTTATGATGCATCTCTCCTGTGATGTATGTGAGTGTATGCACCTACAGCCGAGAGTGCACTCTTGTGTTTATATTACGGTCTGTTTTCCCCAGCCTATGAGACTCTGAGTGGTTCAGTGATCACGTCTTTTAGTAGGGCTCCCTCGACAACAACCAATGAGATTTTTGCATGGATTTTGGTATATGCAGAATAAAAGATCTGTTGCAAACACACCTTTATGATTCTTACACATTTTGTTCAGCAGGATCATCTCCACATATTAACACCACTTAATGATTGTTTGAAGTGTAATGCAATCTAATTAAATCAGTTGCATGGCTGCACATCACCACCGCTAAGCTAAAGGCGGCTAATGTTTGGCTAGATGACAACTAGTAGTCTCAAGTGGACAGTTGCATTGGTGTAAAGTAACTAAGTACATTGAATCCAGTACTGTACGTAAGTACACATTTTAGATAGATTATTTAGTTGAATAAATAAAAGGAATATATGCTTACAAGTTCCTGGAAATTGGTGAGGTGTGACCACATGTTCAGCGGGCAAGTTCCTGAGCATTAATATGCACACGGCGATCAAGCTTAATTGACTATATAGTCACTACAGAGGGTGTGTGTGAGTGTGTGTCACCTTGTCCTGTAACAGGCTGCTGCTGGCTCTGCGGCTGGCTGGCCACTGAGCTGCTGGCGTACAAAGACAGGATGGAGTCTTTGGATAAAAGCTTCTTCTCCTCTGCCTTTGTGGTGGTGGCAGTGGAGGTGGAGGAGGATGCAGAGGAGGAGGTGGAGGGGTCCGCCTGCGGGGGGGCTGGACTGGAACCAGACTGTCAAGGGGACAGAAGGGGGTGGGATGAAGATAAATGGCTTTGACATATGTATGGTTTCACCTACACATATTTTCCATCTGAAGGTGTGTAAAGTACATGCTCTTGGTCACCTCATACATGGATATGAGATACATTGTAGTTGTATAAGACTGAGTCATTTTACTAGAGCAGATTGGATTCATCAGTTTAGACATTTATACCAAAAACAATCATTTTTATTAATGCCGAACATTTCCACTCCCTTAATATAAAAAATGGTCAACCAACCAAATCAGCAGGCCATTGGAAAATATTTTTATTTTAGACCTTTAAGCCTATTTTCTTTTATTAATACAGTATATTTTTGAAGCCTTCTAGCAGCTAAGGGCATAGCTCATCCCTTTTCTGGAACGTTTATAGATGGAAGTTATGGTAGATGAACAATACCAGAAAGAACATCTTAAAAAAACTGGTGAAAAACTAATGGAAATGTAGAAGCTACTACAAAATAGTATCATTGGTCATTTTTGTAATACTAGCATTGAAATGTAAACACGTTATCTTTGTTTTTTTTTAACCAAAGAACCATGATTCTTGAATGTAAAATGGTGTGGTAACATAAGCAGCCATTCAATAACAATGACTAAATAAAATAAATTCAAGTTGATAAGACATTTATTGCAAATCAAATATATCGCGCAAAAGAATATGCAAACAAGTATACCAGTCCAAACAGACATCCAATGAAAACTTTTTGTACTTGCAGTTTTTTGATAAGTTCAACATACACATTTTAAATTAGTTTTATGTCTTGGATATAGTCATGACCCAAGTTTTTCATTATATGCCATTGAACCTTTGAAATCCCTCAAGGGGCTGAGCCTATTTGCTGTTAAGCTTGTTCGCAAGGTGGAAATTGAAATATCTCTAACAGACTCCAAATCCCTCAGACTGCGGTAATGACCAGCTTCCTTCTTCAAGACTAACAGTATCTGTAGAATGGAAGGCATGCCTCAGTTAGAGTCTACCAGCTTTGAGCTTTAGTGATGATACCATCTATCAAAGGATTTGGAAAGGGAGCAGCAACATGTGGAGCATGAGGAATGTTAACCAATGAAAACTGCTACAACGTAATGTGAGTATAGTTGCGTTGGTATGAAACACTAAAAGCTCACTTTATTCCACCTGCCTCCCACAAAATATGAGACAGACACAATTAGAGGCTAGCTAGTGCAGCATTCATGAGCTAAAGAGGCAGATGTTTTCTCAGTGGTTGGTGGAGACCAAACAGAGCTAAAACAATCACATACTGGATTTATGTTTGCCAGGTGACCTGAAACACAACTTCAAATGAATGGCAGCATTGCTCCATATCTGCTGACTTAGTACTTTAGCAACTGATTTCAACAGACCTTCTACAGATTGCCTCTACAAGTTGACTTTTGACGCATGTCATTGCATTGTAAAGCATGGCTCTATTTAACTCAACTATTTTTTATTTTGGTTTTACATAAGCAAAAGTCATGGAGATTTTTAGCCGGTTCTTTCATAAGAACAATGTAGTTCAGGTTCCAAGCAAGCTGAGCTGAGATCTGAAGGTAACAGTCACAGTGTGTATCTCAGACAGCTTGACAGAGAAGCATCTGAGGGTGTTGTTGAGCAAAATGTCAATTGAATTGAAGTGCAGATGTTTCACTGTTTGGTTGTCAATGATAGGATTTAATTTGATGATGTCACGCAGCGTCACTATGGAGCCATATGGTTGCACTATTATTGTTGTTACTGTATTGTATTTATGGTTGTGTGTACTGCATGATTATGCGTTTGATACTGTTGAGTGCACCAAAAGAACCATCCCCCAAAGTGGACAGAAAATCAATAATGGCAGGTTTGAGAAATATACGTTGAGACAGTGTTTTTGTTACTGAGCAGGGTGGAAAATATCTGAAGTGTGTTTAACAGTGAGTAGACCTCAAATCAGGGACAGGCATTAATTGCTGTACTGCATTGCTTTTATTGCTGGAATAAAGCCATTGCCAATGTCATTAGTTCAATTTGTGGTTTCCCTGTTATGACTCATGAATATGTCTGGTGGTTTTTGAGGAACAACAGAAGCAATGTATTGCTATCAAGGTTTGTTTGGTCTCCAAAGAGGCTATTATAGAAAAAGGTTGGAAACCACTGAGAGACACTCGGGGAAATCGAACTGCTGTATCAGAGTCACAGAGAGACTCACATGTATTCGTCTTTAAAGAAGAGATATTCTGCTCATTTTCAGGAGATATTTGTATTTAGTGTCTCTACTGTCTCCAGGCTTTCATGTTCAAAAAGCTCTTTATTTTTCTCATACTGCCTGTGCTGCAGCACCTCTTTTCATCCTCTGTCTGGAACCAGAGCCCAGTCTGCTCTGATTGGTTAGCTGGCCGGCTCTGTTGTGATTGGTCAAGCGCTTAGAGATGACCCGCCCCTTAGCCTACCAGTACAATGTGTTATAGTGCTAGCCAATAGAAGCGCGAGTGTCACAAAGTGATGTCATTATGTTCCTGAAGAAAACAAAGGAGTCCAATTGAGATGTTACAGTTTGGGGGGAGGGTGGGGGAGTGAAACTCTCTCTGGAGGGAGATTTTAGCCTTTGCAGGCCATTCACATGCACAAAAACTAATCTAATCTAACACACTACAGGAAATGGAAATCTAAAAAAGCTTGACAGGGCCTCTTTAAAACGTCAATATCAATTTCCAAGTAAGTGTTCAAGTAAATGCTTAAGTAAATGAGATAGACAAGATGTTTGGAAGTTAAGGCCTCTTTTGGCACACATTTTCCATCGGCCTTCCGCTGACTGTGACTGCCAAACACTGAAGGAGTATAAGCTCCATTTGTTTTGAAAGAACAGTGAAACACTGCAGATTTCTTGCCAAAGCCAGGCTAGGGGCACACTATGTGAAAAGCAGTGATGCATTTGTCTAACCTCAGTCCTAAAAGAAGATGCATTTAAGCAGAGTATGTCCCATGTGCATCTATCCGCTTCTTTGTCCTTCTCAGTCATGCAACACACGCACCATCCACATAGTGTGTGATATGTAGCGGGGCTCCTAGCAGCACATTGTGTCGTAGAAAGCCTCTTCAACAAGGCTCCATTCTTCTCAGCCAATGGTGGTGTTGATGGGTGCAGAGAATTACCACTCTGACAGCCGCTTCCTCACTGTCGCTATTCATAGACCTCGACAGCCACACACACACACACACACACACACACACACACACACACACACACACACACACACACACACACACACACACACACACACACACACACACACACACACACACACACACACACACACACACACACACACACACACACACACACACACACTCTCTCTCTTTCCCCCTATAGTTTTCCATCACAGCTTGATATGCGTATAAACTCCCCTCTGACAGACCATCTGTGGCTTTAAAACCACACTAGGCTCTGTTTTTCTGCAAAGGGATTGGGGTTTATTTAACAACAGCAAAGCTCACCTTGGAAATCTAAATCCAAGAAAGAGAATATGGAACAGGATAGACAAAAACAAAGTAAAGGGAGATGAGTGAAGGGAAGAAAGGAAAAGGAAGAAATCAATTGCTGCTCAGTTCATTACCTCACCGCTTTTCTAGCTCCCTAGGCTTTTGTTCTGCTCTAAACAAACTGCATTTATCTTTCTCTAAACCTCTCAGCCTTCATCAGCAATCAACAGCATTTCCTCCTCCTTTCTTCATACGCTCTTTTTCCAAATCATTTATCTTGTTTCCTCTTCTATCATTCATCCTGCTTAATCCTCAAACACAACAAAAAAACGAAAAGCTTTAACTTGAAAACAGGGATTTTAGTCTATGCAGACCATTGACATGCACAACAACCTACAGTATAGAACACACTACAGGAAAGGGAAAGCTTAATAATTACGTTACAAGTCCAGCAGCAGGCAGGTTTTCTAAAAGACACTAAACAAACTATTTACTCGACTCCGAATATTAACTAATATTATTTTATTGACTTAAAAATGATCGTATTTATAACGCTAAGAAAAAAAAAACTCTGTTCCATGGCGGACCAATGGCTGGAACTGCAACAAGAACAACTTTACGGCAGCACTGTCCAACTCTGTTCACAGTTTCTGATCCACTAACAAGTCCTTAAACACGGCAGAGCCCATACCGTGTTCCTGTTAGTGTTTACTTCCTGTCTGTAGCCCATACCGTGTTCCTGTTAGTGTTTACTTCCTGTCTGTAGCCCATACCGTGTTCCTGTTAGTGTTTACTTCCTGTCTGTAGCCCATACCGTGTTCCTGTTAGTGTTTACTTCCTGTCTGTAGCCCATACCGTGTTCCTGTTAGTGTTTACTTCCTGTCTGCCTTCTTCTGGTGATTTATCTGACGTCCAGCGGTCCGTCTTTTACCCTCTTTTACTTTCTCTTTCTTGATCCTCCTTAGCAACAGTCATTATAGTCCTTGACAGCGGTCTGTACTACTGTATTAACCTGTCACATGTTCTGAATTGCCCAACCAGAATCGAGTATTCAATTAAGCCGTGTAATAAGCAGTAGTTATTAACTTGCTGGATATTTATTTTCAAAATGGACGAATGGCCAGAAAAAATCTAAATGGTTGTTGTGTTTGTAGCTTGTAGTGCTGACCTTAAGAACTTCGCAAAACCAATGAATGAAGATTGTAAATGTGGTTGACTTTATAACTTGCACACAGGTGAACCTACCTGCTTTAATATTGTGTGTTCTGGTAAAACTCTCTTCTGATCTTCATTCAGTCCTTTTAAAATAATCTACTTGAGTAGGGTGCTCTTTGATCGTACGGTGTGCTGATATGTCTACTGGTTTTGCTCTGGATACAAATGTCTCCAGCATATGTTGCACTGCTCACTTAGGAACATTCCCTTTAGCTGTGATTTGGCACTGAGGTTGTTTTCCAGAACTCAGGTGAACAATCTGGTCACCGTCTGCTTCATTAATGCAGCTGTAACAT